CAACACTGGAGTTGGGTATCACAAGCTGACGACGGCTAATGAGCCAGAAATGGCCATTCTAATGTCCTCTGTTTTCTTCGGTAATACCTACATATATATATTCACTAACGAATGGGTTCACACCACTCCATAGGCTTCCCAAATCCAGAAAACTTCGTATGGGTGGTAGGAGTCACGAACAGGCAAACGCCTGTCAGGTCTACGTTGTCCAAGCTATAACAGCAGAGAGGGTCAATAGTGTCGGGGGTAACTTGAAAAACAACTGTTTTGAGCTTATTTACCTCCGGAAGCCAATGGGTTGGAATGTTATGTGATTCAACTCATGCAATGTCACGATCGAACTTGGAATTGGTAGTTAAAATTTAAATTTAAAATTAGTCATTCTTACTCTGGGAATGCTTGCTTAAATAGGGTTTTGCTCAAAAAGCCATAGCAATGCCGTCAGTGAGGTATGCTGTCACTTATCCCAGTGTGAAAGACTGGTGACTATTGTGCACAATGTATGCTGTTAGGAGCTTCAGAAAACAGTCGGCTTCAGAAGGTGCCACAGTCACTTACTAGACATTGTTGATACACTTTCATAAGCGTCAGTTAAATGGTGGCTGACGATCTTCACCAAACCCACTTTCCCTCACAAGCTTTCCCTCTTCCATGGAATGTTCACACTGTCAGTGGGGGTAACATCTACTTCGATGAGTTGATTGCTGCAGACGAAAATAAACACAGTCAATATGACCTGTCAACCGAAATAAGAAAAATTCTGCTTCGATTTGAAAGGAGTACTTATACAGTTTCATAAAATTAATCATCCTGCCACATAATGCCCAACTATTCTAGTCTAATAACGATGCCATCTTTCGAATGAGTTTCTTTTTGACCACCTGCATAGAAGAAAACTCTAGGAAATACGCTTACTTAACCAATATTAACCTTCTAATTGACTTTCGATGGTCTTATAAATAAAGATACGTCTTATAAAGAATGAACAAACGTATTCCCTCTCGGATTTAGATAACAAATTATGTCTTTATCCACCTCCCTAC